CCCATAGTTTGGTCAGGAGAGCGATTCAAAGTTCGTACCCCTTAATGTTAATTTCGCTTTTTGCGTTTTCAGTCATATTTTCAAAACTAATGAAGCAATTCAAAAAAAATTGCACCCACTCATAAAACTCATTTACCCAAAGATAATTTCATGAAAAAAATAATTTTTAATAATTATTAATTATTTTTTATTATTTAATTAAATTGAGGATGAAAACATTTTAAATTATAAGGTATGAATTTTTTTTATACCATATTAATCTACATATTTTTCAATTGAAAAATCTAAAGTTTCAACTGTTTTTATTTATTAGAAGCTGAGAAAAATTAAAATTAATTATTTTCAAAAAAATAATTTGGCGACAAAAAAGAAATAATTAAATGGGGCGATTAATATTAAAATGTGATAAACTTGCGAGGAACTTGACTTCCTGCGTGTAGCCTAAAATTTCATTCATTTTTTATTCGCTAATAATCGCTTGCTAATCTTTTTATTTTTTATTTCTTTCAAACTATAAAATGCTTCTTTTTTAGTCGTTTAATAATTTATTAGCAATTTAGTAAAGAAATTTGAATAAAACCTTTTGAATAAAAAACACTTTATTCAACGAATGTCTAGTTTTATAAAAGCGTGCTTCTGATAGAATATGATTATACACCAGATTATATTATGTGCTTATTTAATGTGATTATTTTTTATTTTTTGATTTTGTTTTTCAGTAATTGATACAATTTCAATAATATACATACGTATGCATAGATTTATAATAATATCAATTTCTTGAATACAGGGTAACAAAAAAATATAGGGATCACTTTTGGATGTTTTTATTTCCAAAATTTATTACATAAATTCAGCGATGCTTCTCAATATGTCGACCTCCGGCATAATAGATTTGTCTACAACGCTTCGGCCATGATTTTAAAGCCCGCAAAATGATTTCCTGGGGGATTTTCTTCACCTCTTCTCTAATAGCTCTTTGGAGGCCTCTCAATGTAGAAATTCTCCGCTTATCCAGTTTGTTTTTCAGATGTCCACATAGGAAATAGTCGCATGGTGCAGCATAAGGACCGTTTGGAATCCATTGTTCTGGTCTCAGGAATTGCACTTGCTGATCTGTTAGGAATTTCTGGGTGACCTTAGATGCATGCGATGGGGCAGAGTCCTGATGAAACACAGCATCACCATTAGGATACAATCTGCAGTAATCATCCTTAAGAAAGGGCTTTAATATCTTATGTATGTAATACTCAGAATTTATTTTGGCCCCAGGTTTCACAAACCGAGGTTTGGTCACCCATCCAAACCATTACGCCTTTGGGATGAGGCACCGTGGTTGATGGTGTCAAGTCTCGCCTGTTCTGCCCACGGCTAAGATATTGAACTTTAGATTTAGCATTGGTATCAGATAGATAGATCCAAGCTTCATCAGTTGTAATGAACTTTCGCCATCTGTCCTTACGGAGAAGCTTGTAGAGGGGCCATGAACGTTGCCTCCTAATCTGCACCGATCTCTCACTTAAATGATGACAATTTGGTTTTTTTTATGGCATTTTTTCTTCAACTTTTGTTTTAGTTGATAGCTTACAACTTGCTGACTCACGTTAAGAGCTTTAGCCATGCTTGCCTGTGGTGGATCCGGTTTTGATGTCATCTTATCAAGCTTCTGCAAATCTGATTTCTTCAATTTGCTTGGTCGTCCACTTCTTTTTGGTTTTGCATTATTTTGCATCGTTCCGAGTTCTGAATCCTTGATGCGACTGATATGGCTGAGTGAAATTGCAGTACCTTTCTTTTTAAAATGGGTTTGTATAATCCTGTGGTTCCAGCGAATTTCTAAAAATGCTTGTACTTGACCAATTAGCTTTTCGTCAAATTTTTTTAAAGGCATTTTTTTGATTTTATAAAATAGTATTGCAGTTGAAAGTCTAATAGCAGAGCTTTAGATCAGAATGCTATAAATGTAAAAAGGTTTTAAAACTTTAGTGGTAGATAACCACAAAAGTGATGCCTATACTTTTTTGTTACCCTGTATATATTTTAGAAATATTAATAAAAATACGTAGTCAACATTTTTAAGCATCTCTCACAACATCGCAAATTTCTCAACATCTTATAGGATAAACTGACCAATGAAGGAACACTTAAGCTTATCTTGCTTTTAAAAAAATTTCAAAATTTTTAATTTTAGCTAAATGATGGTGTCGGCATATTTGTTATTAAATGCAAATTATGTAAAAAAAATTTAGATAACTTATATAATATTGTTTTAAGCTTTTGGTGGTTTAAATAATAAGTAATAAGATAACCAAGTGAAGGAATAGTTCTTACCAGTGAATAAACACTAAATTTTCCAGTGAATGAATTTTGAGAATGTTTGATGCTCACTATGAATCCATAGGCCATAACAAATGTCTAAAAACAAGATTTTTTTTGGGATTACAACATATAACCACAGTTAACGTGGAAAATGTTACTTTTTTTCAGTCATGGAATGGAAAGTAAGATATGTTTGAATACATAATTAAAAAAAAAAAATTTCATTTTTTTTCTCGCAGTTTAATAGTCCGTTCTAAATTATGAATGTTTATCATTGTGTAATCCGATGATGCTTTTATTATTACTAGATCACTTTTTTGTTTACTCTTTTTCCCATATTTTTTGAAGCCTTTTTTTTATCTCTTTAAGTTTTTTTTCCTCTTCGTCATACTTTCCGCTTTAACTTTTTTTCCAGCTCTTTCAATCTCTTTAAATTTTCGTTCTTTTTCTGAAGCTAATGCAAAAAAGTAATTTATTTATTTTTCTTTTGATTTAACCTTCCTCTTTTTTCCAAATTTTTGACCAATGAAATTGTATCTTCGAAATTTCTTTTGATTTTCCAGTACCATTTCTAGAATTCCTCACTGGATAATAAATGCGAAAAAGGAGTTTCGAAGTTTGAGTAAAATCTATCTCTCATTAACTTACATCTAGTGGGTCTTCAGCAGTACTTACCATTTACTTATGGAACCAATTGTTTTTGCAAATAACAATGCATCAAGAGGACTTATCTCAAAATCAGTTTTCAAGATACTTAAGTACTCAATAATTTCGCTATTTCCAGAATGAAATTTGTTTGATCGAAACATATTATTCCTTGAAAATTAAAACGTGGAAAAAATTAACTTTTATAATTTATCTAAGCTTATTCCATTTATTTAATGATAGCGGTATTAAGGTTAAGGATATGCGATGGAAGCCCCGTTTACTATTTTACTATAAATGCATTAAATCATGTAGCATGAATAATTTATTTCAAGCAAATTATTTAATAATTTTAAGCAAATAAGGGTGTAAAAATAAACTCGATCGAAATGCTCCGAAAGTATACCCTAAAATATATGTAGAATAAACTTTGGAATCGATATATAAAAAATACCTTTTCAAACAACTTCGAGTAGAACGGAAACGCTAACTTGTTTAAAAAAGTTGTCCTTGTTACTATTTAATTTCGATTCCTGGTACTAGGGG